ATCCAGCTGAATCCTGTTTATTCGGACATACCATATTAAAACACGTATTTCTTACAGGTCAATTAGTTCTTCAAATGATATCTTTAAGTTAATTTTATAGTTTTGTGATATTAATAATGCTAATGTATTGATATTTTTCTAGTTTTGATTTAAGTTTGCTTGTTTAGCGTCGTCACAGTTGCTAGGTGACATGACGTACGCCGGGGTAAGGAGGGGAGGCTAGACCGTCCAAATTCACAGCCTCTTTTTTTCCGGTCTTCCCGGTCTACCAAGGACCCGGCCCGCCGAGACCGGGCAGTCTGGGTCCTCTGGAGGACCCGTCCTGTCGTTTTGGACACAGCCATTAACTCCGCCCTCCAAAAATCTGTTGACATTAACTCCGCCCTACAAAAATCTGTTGACATTAACTCCGCCCTCCAAAAATCTGTTGACATTAACTCCGCCCTCCAAAGCCAGCGTTTACGTTAGCATGGCTAATAATAGCAGAAGCTCCGTTGTACAACCATATGAGACCCTGAGGCAGAGTCGTGGTCCCAGCTTCTTCTTTTTCTCTCCCTCCTCTGCTCTGCGCTCACTCTGCATGCTGTTACCAGAGCAGGGAGCAGCAGCGGTCAAAATACCTCAGAAACTAGAACAAATAGGCTTTAACAAGGCTTTAATAAGATAAACAATAGAGGTACATGAGAAAATGTGTTCATAATGAATGAAAATAAATAATTAAATAGTGTCTGTGTCTGTCTCAAACCCTGGTCTCTGGTCCAACACTCTACCCATTGTCCTGTTGGAGACTTGTTGTGAACAGAGCTACACATTACACAACAACACTGTGACGACTTTTTATACTGGGTTGTCGTACGACTTGTGACATCACAAAATGATGGAAGTATAAAACTTGTCGTTAATACACATTAAAAATACATTTACTTACAGTAAATATGCCCCTGGGTGCATTTTTTGGTCCTAGGACTGTTTTTTAAGAAGTACATACCCAAAGATGAGTAAAAAAACCTTTAAAAGTGAATTTTGTATAACAGGTCCCCTTTAAAATTTATTTTAGATCAACTCAAATTCCCTCAAATTTACACAGAGAAGTTGTTCTTCCTGAAACTGAAGAACCTGTGAATTTCCTCATAACTTTTGTTATGAGAAGAGTACGTTGTACACCGACACATTTTTGGCTAAGTGTTTGTGTTTCCTGAAAAACTTAATAAAATCCTTTTGTGAATGTGAGGAATGTAACATAAAGGAAATGTTTGGACGCTCCTGCAGGCTGCTGCTGCATCAAACACTCTACATATGTTTGTACATAAAACATTTTTACATAATTAACTACATCATGTGAAACAGATGAGTGTAAAGCTTTATAAAACACTGGTTGCTATGGAAACTGTAAACTGGAGTTGTTTTGAAAACAGCAACACTAAGGCTGTGTCCAAAACGACAGGACGGGTCCTCCGGAGGACCCAGACTCCCCGGTCTCGGCGGGCCGGGTCCTTGGTAGACCGGGAAGACCGGAAAAAAAGAGGATGTGGATTTGGACGGTCTAGCCTCCCCTCCTTACCCCGGCGTACGTCTTGTCACCTAGCAACTGTGACGACGCTAAACAAGCAAACTTAAATCAAAACTAGAAAAATATCAATACATTAGCATTATTAATATCACAAAACTATAAAATTAACTTAAAGGTAACATTAGAAGAACTAATTGACCTGCTGTAGGTTCATGTTTATTTCGCGTTTTTTATGACGAAAAAATAATATGTAAAAACATGTCCATACAAATGATAAAAGTATTGGAATTACAACCGCTAATTTTTTTTAATTTTTATATCACCATATTTTTATTTAAAACGTATTCTTTTCTCTCGCTTCGTCCGCCATTACTAGCTTAAAAAAATCTCCGGTCGGGCCGCAATGCATTATGGGATACGCTGGGCCGGGAAGGAACCATCAGACCTGTCCTTCGATTCGGGGAAAAAGAAGGACGTATTTGTCGGACGCATCGGAGGAGTCTTCCGTTTTGGACGTCCTTCGTCGCGGCGCTGTGACGTATGCGGCCGACAAATTCGACCTTCGGAGGACCCGTCCTGCCGTTTTGGACACAGCCTAAGTCCTCCGCCCCTCTTAGACTAGCCTTTAGCTCGTCAGTCCAATCAGAATGACAGAGTCTCCAAACTGAGGCGCTTCACAGAGCTATCTACAGCAGGTAAGATAGTAACTGCTCATATTTTTCTGCAAAGCATGACTTTAAAAACATCTGAGTGTGGTTTTAATTGTTTTGTTGTAAATGTGTTGGTATGTTTATTAGATGTGAACTGTGTGCAGTAAGTATCTAACATGTAACCAGTTTGTCCCAGTCTGTTAATGACTGAAACTGTGGAGCAGCTGAACTGGTTTGTCATCCTGTTTCCAGTCTGAGTGTTGTGTTTTCTCTGGAAGCTGGGAGTAAAGTGAGAAGGAACATTTCATCCTTTGCCTGCTTTAAGCTAGACACAGCTCTTGTGGCTTTTGTATCTAGTCACAGAAGAGGGGAGAAAGTCCTGCAGAGAGTCTAGAGCAGTCTTTAGAGCAAACAGGGGTGTCCTCATCATGCACCGGACTCACCCAACAGGGCACGCACAAGTTCGGAGGGGTACGGGTGGGCAATGGACCCACGGAGGATGAGGCTGGCATCATGGACCACGACCAGCTCTCCCAGCACTCAGACGAGGGAGACGAGGTGGGCCTTCTTCATTTAATTTATTTACCATTGTTACGTCCTAACCTTTGTCATCCATTAACACTATCTGCTGTGGTAGACCACAATGTGTCCTAAAGCAACATCAAATATGTGTTTTTTCTTCAGTAAATCAGGTTTTCTGTTTTAAATTAGAGATCAGAGTTATCTGGACACAACACTGTAAACAGCAGCAGTCCAAGGAAAACATTAGAGTGCACACAGGTTGTTTTTATAAGAAATACCAGAGTTATTTTTTCTATTTATTTCTCTTTTCATAAATAGGGTTTGGTTCTTCAGTTCTCCTTAATAAATATCCAATTACTAATGTTATGACAGCAAATGTCATGGTTGGAATGTAATAATTTAGCTGTTTTCCATCATGTTGGCTCCTTCTTTTAGCTACCAGTTATAAACAGGCCTGAGTGTTCATGTAGAAATAATTTGGATGAAACCCTGTAGATATGTATCCAGTTACTGAAACAAGTACTAATTTAGATCTTTTGAAGTGGGAGTCTGTTAGTTTACAATAATGAATATCTTACTTGCTGTAGATAGCTCTGTGGGTGAAAGAAACCAACCCATTCTCACTCCCGACTCGTCAACAGATTGACACTTGGTCAGGTAGCCCCCACGCCACGTGTCACTTCTTTACGAGATGAGGCGGAGGAGGACTAGCACGTTGTCATATTTTTTTAAGAGTAGGAAATGCATGAAGCTACCCCTCCCAGACCCAACATTTAACTTTTATTAGCCCTGTACAGCCTGTCCCTGACCCCAGAACCTAAAATTAACATTAACCCTGATCCCTCATATCAACCATTTTTGGAAATTAGTGATGTTTGATGCTGCCAAATTTCTTTCTGATACTGATACCAAGTAAAATGTGTCTGGTATCGGCGATACTGATCCGATACTGATACTTTGTGATAACACACTTAATGTGTCTGGTAAAAATCTTAAAAATTAGTGTTTTTCAAATAACCACTTTATAAATAATACATGACATAGTAATTATTTAATTTAAAAGTCTTTCTAACCCTAACCCTACATTTGTTTAGCACAATTTTAAATTCTTATTTTAAAGAAATATAATATTTTTTGAATAGTGACTAAAAGTGAAAAACAATCCAAAAAGTTGTTACTTTGTATATTTTCAGTTGTTTGTGTGTTTACAAGAAGGTCCTTGACCAGAGCCAATGCTGTTTGGGAACCTCTCGACTAGAATGTGATTACAGTCACTGAGACGAGGCAGATTTTATGTTAAAATGACCTGCCGTACATCTACAGACTGACTGAACACGTGCTACAGACTCAAGCAGAAGAAAAAGTAGCTCCCTCAACTACATGTGATTAAAACAAGATGGGAATAATTTAGTTATTTTCTATTTTCCTGTTAATGATATAATATGTTATAATATGATTATATAATATATAATTATGTGAAATAACTAAAGTATCATAGTATTTATATTTAGATTTTAGTATCGATTCTAGAACATAAAGTTCTGGTATCAGTAGTATTGATATTTCAGTATCAATCTGCACACCACTAATGAACATGTAGATAATGTGTGAGAACTAACCGTCCCAGAGCCTAAATTTAACCTATATTAGCCATAAACAGCCCATCCCCAACCTCAGTCCCTATAATCAACCATTAATCCTGATCCCTCATGTTAACCTCAGACCCCTAATCCAAACAGCCCTAAGTGGTCCACCCTGGAGAAGCCGCAGGCGGCAAGGATTGATGTGAGGGGGTACCTGACGGGTCAAACGGTCCCTGAACAGGTGTCAGTGTGTTAACGAGTCGAGAGTGAGAACGTGTTAAAGAAACAGTTTTATAAACATCACAGTTTTTATTTCACTGTGATTCACTTTGTTATTGTGTAAAGACTGATTCAGCTTCACACTTTTGTTTTCCTCTTTTCAACATTTTTACTACTAAGTTACTTTTCATAAACCTTCAGCTTACATGTGTCTTATGATTTATAACTGCCATAACTTTTAACATTTTTACAATAAACTAACTTTATAAATACTTTCATGGAAACACGTTAAGATCTTCGGTCCTTAAGTTTTTAGCTAGCGTTTTGCTATTCCTAGCCTTTAGCCATTGTTTTGCTAAATCTAACTTATACCTATCCTTTTCTGCATTTTAGCTTTTGCCAATTTTTTTTAACTTTTTTTAGTTACTTTTGTGTTTTTAAGGAGTGTTTTGCTAGTTTCAGCTTTTACCAAGTATTTTGCTACTTTTAGGCTTTATCTACTTTTCTACTACTTTTAGCTTCGAACAAACTTTCTGCTACCTTTAGCTTCTAGCTAATCTTTTTAAGCTTCTAAGCTTTTTGTTACTTTGCTAGTTCTGTAGATTTAGTTATTTTTAAGCACAAGGACCAGCTAACTCTAGCCCTTTCTGTGCACCCTGGAACATTTACTGTAATAATCACCAAAATATCACCATATTTCTGTTAAAGTAATCATATTTGATAGTGAAGATTTATTAAACAGAATTCACATAAACTGACATTAAAGTTGTGAGGTTGTTTTAGATGGCAGCTTGTTGGACAGCTGTCAGAATTAAACTGTTTCTTCAAACTGATGCCGTTCACAGAGCTATCTACAGCAGGTAAGATATTCCTTGTTCATAAATAGTCTACAGAACCACAGTAAAAGATCTAAACTATCATTTTAAAAGGAATTAAACAAATAAACCAGGCTTAGGCCACTTCTGTCATCTGAAACTAACATCCAGATGTTTTGAAAACTTGGATGAAACTCTGTTTCTGCTGCTGACCTTTGACCTCTGCTTATTTTCAAGCACTCAGAAGAAGAGCCGGTAAGAGCAGAGTTGTTTGTCATCGTAGTGTGTTGGAATGCTGTATTTACTTGTATTTATTTAGTTTTACATAGTTTTTCCAAAGTTTTAGATTTGTTTAAACACTACTTTTTTGTTGTGCCTGTGTGTGCATGTGTTTGTAACCATTTTGCTTGCTGTCCAACACAAAAGGCTAATAATGTTTCTCCAAATCTGTGTGTGTTTGTCCTGTTAACACAACATCTCACAAACTGAAAGCAGGAAACAATGACTTTGTCCGTTTACAATCGATGAACCTTTGGAGTCTACCCAAAACAAGATGGCTGCCACAGCTAAATAAACTTAGCTAACTTAAAAATGGTTATAACTCTGAATATTTTACAGACGTTGTGCTAAAGTTTGCTGAGGTTCAGTCACAACACATAATTTACAATCTCCAAAAATTGCAAAAGACAGAACATATTTTACAAAGTTTAACCAAAACTGCTATAACTCCATCATTTTTCATCATGCGATTAGTTTAACCAGGAGTTCTTAATCTTTTTGACCTCAGGGCCCAGTTTATTGAGCATAAAGTGACACCAGGCCCAGTCAGACATTACTAATGTATGGATCAAAATGATAATTATTATAAATCTTGGTTTAATATTTATTGTATTTACATTATAACTAAACTATCATAACTAACATAACTAAATAAAATACACTTAC